TATGATGTTCATATTGTTGTCAGCATCTTTTGTCGCACTCCAATATTTGCTGAGTAAATATTGGTGTTGGTAGGTACTGCTGATGACTTTGCAAAATGCACCACCTGGCCTTGACTATGAAAGGGATAAAAAGTTCTCTAAGGTATACTTGAGCAATTGGATAGAGTTAATACATTGACTATAACATGTGATCTGATGCATTCCTCACACTCCCCCAATCTTTAGTCTTTTAAGCAGATGATAGCCAGCTGCTTGGTCAAAGATCCTTCAAAAAGGCCTTCCGCACAGAAGTTGTTGAAGCATTCATTTTTCAAGCAGGCTAAATCAAGTGATTATCTAGCGCGGATGCTTTTGGAGGGGTTGCCTGCCCTTGGTGATCGTATGAAAGCATTGAAGGTTAGCATATTGATCCAAGGGGTCCTGAGTCAGGTCCTTGTAATTGTTAACATATATTAACAAGTGATACCATTTCAAAACACAGAGAAAGGAAGAAGATATGCTTGCACAAAAGAAAATGCCAGATGGACAGAAAGAGGAAATATCACAGGTATCAATTCATTGTTTCCTTAGTGAGGAGGATCTAAGTGGAATTTGCTCTTCTAGTCATCAACTTATGCAGTTAGATATATTTCATTTGGCAAAGAGATGAAATTACTCTCTTTTAGGTCATGCTTGGTTCTAACTTGTGATGAGGTTTAGTTTTTAAATAGCTAAACACTTTTTTTTTTCCCATTCTTTGATTGCAATACATGTCTCTACTAGCATGCAGTCAAATGTTAACAACAAAATTGCTCTTATTTGTCATAAAAATTTTATGGATTCCTGCTGAGGCTATTGTATTGTGGTTGGCTGACTTGAAGTTTAACAAAGGAAATGGTGGCATATACGACACTATAATCTTGCTGAGGCTTTTTTCCTAAATTTCTTTTTTCTGCCAAGTGTGGTATAAGATAGGTATCTTTGCCGTGTATATATGTTAAACAATTCAATGTCTTGAATGGCAGTTTTTTGAATCCTATTCTGTACAAAGGACCTTATTGTTTCAAAAGAAAGCTTTTTCTTGCTTCTCAAAATCTTTGATTGGAGAAATATTTGGTTGGTTACTCTGTTGGATAAAGTTGTAAAGCTGATTCTAATTTCATGAAACAATTGCTAGTTCTATGGCAAATTTTTAAGAAATAGTTTAGAAAGAATGGTAAGAGGGGGGCAGGAGGTTGAGAAAATGTGAAGATATGTAATGCAATTTGTTTAAGTGATCATCTTCAAATTCTAATCTTTTTTGTTTTCTAATTCTATAGCACTAGTTTATTTGGAAGTTTTCTTATTGCTTGATAAGACATCCATGGTTACCTTGCTTGCATATCATTAGGAAATGCATTAACATAGATATGGTAGTTAGAAGAGATAATACAAAAGTATGTAAACTATGAAAATGGGTTAAAGTGAATTGTCCCACACTAGCACTTCCGCATAATAACTCTACTAAGGCGACTTTATTATAGAAATAACTTCTGATATGCTTGTTACAATTTTGACTGACCAATAACCAATTTGATCCCAAGGTACGAAATAAACTTTTACACCAAAGAATATAGTAAATTACGGCTAGAACCATACCAGCAACCAAAGTCAATTCACGAGGTTTTTTAAAACCACCTGTGAGATATACACGAAATACATGCAGGATCATTGTTAAGACCATCATACTTGCCGACTATCGACGAACTGGTCGGATTAACCAACAAAGTTAGCTTCACTTAATATTGTGGGGTGTGCCAGATTTTAAATGCTGCACTGGTTGCTAATGAGATGTCTCTTTCCTTCATTCTCAATGTAATGGGTCGGGTGGGTCTCTGTGACTAATATGATCCTGAATCTGGAATCTTGGAACAAACTTGATTTCTGTTTGTCAGGCTTTCTTTGTTTTGTGCTTAAATTGTCTAGGGCAAGTTAAACACCATCAATTTCTAGAGTTGAGGTACTCCACAGCTTTTTTTTTTTTTTAATTTTCTTTTGAAATAAAAAGTGTGAGATATATATATATTAACAAGCCACAGGGGGTACCACCCATTTACAAAACATTTACATATGCGTTAGAGTATAATTTTCTTTTAAAATGATAAAAATTGAATTCATATGAAATTTCATATAGAATTAGAACAATACATTTTAAATCCCATCAATTTGGAATGTATTGTTTTAAAATGACAGAAATTGAAATAGATCTCCAATTCCACATGGAACTCTATATGAACTCATTTTTTTTTGTCGTCTTAATACAATTTATAACTCCTAATTGAACTAAGTATGAATTTGTAAATAAATTTTACCACATTTCCAGATGTAGCTGAAGGGAACTTCTATTCACCTGCACTAGGGATTGTTGTTTGAGAACCCTTTTATATTTTCATTTATCTGCTGAAATGTGGGACTGGCTTTGTTGATCTTATTGATGTCTTTTCTGCTTAATTTTGTTTATATATTGTATATATGTGGCTCCCCCTTGATGCCCTTCCTATGATTTTTTTTAATCTACAGGAAAGTTTTGATGATATTTCACTTTAGCTTCTGTTTTGACTTTTACTATACTAGATATTTTCTGGTTTCTTCGCATCTGTCATACTTATTTTTTGGTTTCTGCAAGTAGGAAGACAAATTTCATTGTCATCTGTCCAAGAATAGACCAATTTCATTGTCTTCATTGATTGACATTTTGTTTACTCGGTCCCTGCCTTCTAATCAGTTCTCACTGTAATTTGCAGAATGAATATAAACGAGGCATAAGTGGTTGGAATTTCAATCTTGAAGATATGAAGGCTCAGGCTTCCCTGGTATAGCATTTTTTTTCTATATCATCTGTAAAATCATGTTTGCAATAATGGTCCTTCAGAATCATATAATTGTTGTTGATGTCAGATCCAAGATGGTGAAGATTCTGTATCTGACAATAATCAAGGAGGGAGCTCAAATTCTTTGGCTGCACTAGATACACTGGAAAAGCAACCAGAATGTCAGGTCTCATCGCAGTGTAGATAGGTCCCTTATGAATATTTTTATTTTCTCGAGGTTTCCTGTGGTTTCTAATAGTCTGGATTTTCACAGGAAGACAATGATCATCTATATACTCAGCCAGTTTTGCCACCAGTAACTGACCAGAAAATAGATATTAAAAAGTATGCCTTCAAATTTATGACATGGCTACTCTACTAATTTTCCTGTGCTCATTGTTTACGTGCTTTTTAAGTCATCAGAATACAGAGGATCTATGCTTGTGCTTGGAAGATTTTTACTGCTTATTAGTTTGAAAGATGTGATATTACGATATTTTACCTAGGTAGTGTTTCATTTAGTTGAGCTTGTAATTAATTAAAATCATTTCTCATTTTGTATCTAGATTGGACAAATCTGATGATGACTCCGGCATTGCAAGTCCCTGTGAGCAGCACATGAATTCTTCATCTAATCATGATGATCATGCTGATAATAATCTGACTGAAAGGACTACTTTTGAGGTCAATGGAGGATCTTCAGATTGCATAGCTGTTCCTTCTCAGTCTAGGACAGGAGTTTCAGTAGGCACTTCTATTTTGCCAGAAAGTAGCATATCTCCAGTCAAAGTAGAGAGGTCTGATGCCTAAACTATATTGTCAATTAAAAATTTTACTCGGGTTTGTCTAAAAAAAAAATATTTAATTGGGTTAAATGGTTGCTCCTTGTGGTTCATTGTTAGAATTGTATTTCATGCCACTTGGGAGCAGCTTAACTTGCTATGTTAGTCTTCCAAAATCTCATAAAAAAACTCTTGCTGCTATCTTGATTCGTAATATGCTGCTTGATTGAGAATCAAGACATGCTGCTTGATTGAGTATTCAATCACCATGTAAATAAATTGAATCTTGACAAAAAATTAGGCATCTATTGCTAACCAAGGATGTTCTTATGGGGAATATACAAGACAATAAAAGTGTTGCTAGATCAAGTCCTAAAAATTTGATCATATGAGTTAGGGTTGGAACTAATCCAAAGGTCAGTATTATGAATAAGGTAGCAATGAAGACTTGGAATCATAATATGGGCAAATAGAGAAATTCTTTAGGTGCTTAGGATTGCAGTTGCTTCAAGTTGTAAGCAAGAATCATTTCCAAACCTCCTAGGTGCTGCAGTAGGAGGAGCTGCTAGGTGTTACTGTAGATATTTTGAATTATTCAAATCCATGCATTTATGTGCACTTGCAAGTAGATGAAATTGAACTAGAAAAGGGAGAAAGATAGTGGAGGAAAGAGAATATGAGCATCTGAGAAAAACTAAACAATTGTGATATTTGGTGTAAGCTAGGTTTGCTTTCCTTCACTTGAAGGTTTCTTTTTTTTTTTTTTTTTTGATCTCTTGGTGGTTTTGGTAAGAAAAAGAAGTGTATGGTTCTGGGAGAGGCTATTTTCGCTTGTTTGCAAGTGTGGTGGTTGGAGAGAAATGCTAGGGTTAGTTCCACCTACACCATTGCTTTGATATAGATGAGTTTTCTTGGTCTCTTTGGGCTACAATACTAGGTCTGTCTAAGGGTAGTTCTTTAGCTATTTGCTAATAGATCGGGCAGCTGTCCTGTATTAAGTTTGTTTTCAGGATTTATTATCATCCATTAATGTAATTGTTTATTCACTTTTCAAATAACACTTCTTTTTTTCGAACCAATAAAAACTAAGCAATTGTGCTTATCACTTTCCCATAATAAATCATAATTATGAAGTTGGTAAACGTTACAGAATATCAGCCAGTTAGAAAAGAAAATAAAACTCCCTCTCTCTCTCGCCCCCTTTCTCTCTCTTTATTTCTCTCCCTCCTTCCCTCCTGTTGGTTGGCATCAAATCTGTGACATGTTACCAGGTGTATGGACTGTTTGTTATTCAGAACAGAAAAATCCCTTTAACTAACTACCACCAGATTTTCTGAATCTTTGTCTGGCATATAAAAGATAAGATATATTATTCTTCATCCATTCTTTTGCTTTTCTTAAGTACTAATTTATATGTTTGGAATCCTCAGCGACAAGCGACCAAGTCAACTACAAAATGTTCCAGTCTGCAATGGAGCTGCAGCTCCACCTGCAGGAGATGAAGTACTTCCGGAGCTTCCTTCTAAACAATCTAAATTATCGGGCAAGTCCTTACGAGTTATTCTTCTAACCTTTTCCCAATGTACCTCTACTTGCTAATCCTTGTTTATATAATCAAAATATTGTGGTGACAGTGAATAGTGACGAACTTGATGACAAATCAAAGCCACCAGTTGTTCAGCAAAAGGGGCGTTTTAAAGTTACATCTGAAAATGTTGACTTGGAAAAGGTGACTGAGGTGACTCTGGTTCTGATGTTCCTTCTATTGTTCAGACTGGATGTGTATTCACCTTCTCTTTTCAGGTGGTTCCATCTCCAATACTACAAAAGAGTCACAGCATGCAGGTTGGTAATCTTGAGGTCAGCACATATGTGCCAATAACTTAAACATTTCTACTATTCTGTCATATATTCTTCGAAGCATTGTTCGCATATATTGACTTCCATAATAGAAAGGCTTCTGAGAAAAAAAAAAAAAAAGTTCTATGGTTACAAGGACAAGATTTAAAATCTTTCTCCACTCCCCCCCACCCCTCTCCCCCCAACCCCTTCCTCCCAAACTTTAAAAAAGGGCAACAATCAGGAAAAAGTTGAACTTCTCATATGGTTACGAAGGAATTTCACTGAGTAGCCTTACTCGTTTCAGTTACCTGGAAGTCTTCCCTTTTTCTTTGCTTTAATGTTGACTGTTGCTACTTTGCAACTGCTGCATTTTCAGAGCTGTGTTATTGGAATTTTATCTTGATGTGTTTTCGTGACTTGTGTAGAAAAAAATATTATTAATAGAGAGAAGCGATATAAAATACAATGGGTGGAGGATAAGAGATCCTCACGGACGCCTTTGAGGAAACACGAGGCAAAAATGCACCAAGAAAATATTAATGTAAAATAGCATCAAGTTTCTGCATAGATGACCATGAGCCTTAGTTCATAAAGAGGCCAAGAAGATCGATCTATCCCTGAAAGAAATTGAGGTGGAAATTGGCGATTTTTGAAGATCCTATCATTTTCTCCACCCACAAAACCGAAGCCCATGAAAAAATAGCACAACTTCCTAAAGAATCCTCAGTTTCTTTTTCATTCCTTCCCCTCTTAACAAAGAAACGAAAAAAGAAAACTCTTCATGGAAGGAGAAACCCATGCAAAGCAAAATGTATCAAGGAGAGTTATTGAAAGCTCCCAAGCTGCATGACAACAGTCGTAGGCTTTTCCAAGAGCTATCCCCTGCCTTGAAGCGTGTAGAAGGAATTAAAAGGTCACAAAGCTGAGATATAACTTTCCTAGGGGACTTCTATGAGTCTAAGGATTCCTAGCATAGAATTCTCTCAATTTCTATGCATACTATAGATGCTTTAAATCACCCTATGTTACAAGGAAAGAGGTTCCTGTAGAAAACACTGTAACCATTCAACCAATAAACAAATTTTTTGAGATCAAATTCCCAATGTCCATGCCACCATCTTGCTTAACGCGACAACACTTCCCTTCTTACCAAATTAGATCTCAATTTGTTGCCATCCTGAACCATAAAAAACCTTTTCATAACCTTTTTTATGTTTTCTGCCACACCCTTGCGCATCCTAAATAAAGTAATATAAGGGGATGCTAGAGAGACAAGCTTGGACAAGAGTTACTCTACCTCCTAGGGAGAAAAGATCTTCCAATACTTGAGGTATCTAGAAACCATGGTGACCTTTCAAAGGTATTTGAGGTGTACCTTTCAAAGGGACACCTAGATAAGAAATGAGCCAAAATAACTTAGCACACCTAATAGCCTTAGCAAAGTAATCAATTACATGATTCAACCGCGCTTCTACTTGGAAGGTCATTCTTATTTAGGATAATTAGGAGAGTAGAATTTTCTCAAAAATTGAATGATAGTGGGAACAGTATTGGCTGATCCCTTATCCTCTAAAAGGGAGAGAATGATATCATCTGCGGATTGGAAGCCTCTGTTATACCATTCCTAACATATAGGCTTTTAATCAAACCTCTTCTAATCTCTTCATCAACATCTGGCTGAGGATATCAGCCACCATCATGAAAAGGAACGGAGAAAGTGTATCGCACTCTCTAACACCACTAGAACCACAACCAAGATTGATGTTTAACATTGACAGTAGTTGCAAAAGACACAAAGGATAAACAACTACCCTCAACCTCTAAAAGTCTTTCTCTCCATCATCTTACCTTTGACCAATCGTAGGCTTTTCCAAAATCCAATTCGGAAATCAATCTAGTCCCATTAGATTTCTTAATGGCATTCACCTCTCATTCACGACAAGAGATACATCAAGAATTTGGCAACGCCCCAGCAAAAGTGCTTTGATTAATTGCAAGTACCATCCAAAATCTCATTCAATCTGAACAAAAAAAAAAACCTTCATAATGATCTTATAAACATTGGTCACTAGGTTGATTGGATGGAAATCTATAATTTTTTTAGACATGTCCTTTTCAGGCACCTACTATGAAGTAGAATTCATGCTTTTCCCATCAATACCATTAAGATAAACCTCCTCGAACACCCCCATCAAGTCAAATTTCACACAATCCCGACATGCCTTCAAGAAAGCAATGGACAAGTCGTTTGGACTAAGAGCCTTATCAAGACCAAGGGCACACAAAACTTTCTTCTCTCATCTTCAAGGAAAAGTCTCTCCGATTGACTAGTTCTAATAATGAGACTCCAATTAGTTCTCTCCAAAAAGGATTGATTGTGATCCTCCTCATTATATAGAGCTCTATAAAAGTCAGTAATCTTCCACCTTACAACATTATGATTCCTGATTTTTGAAATAAAAGTGAGTAGTAATATTAAAAAAAGTGCCAAGGGGGCGAACCCATAATACAAAACATTATGATTACTGATGTTAAGAATGATTAAATGTTGATATGCTGCAATGTGAACCTATAACAAGAATCTGTCAAATTCTGTTGGTTTTCTTAGGGCATTTGTTATGGTTTATGTAGGTGCTTACCCAACATCCTGCGAGTTCACTGCCAGCCACAACATTTTCATCTGATGCTACATCATCGACTTTTTCCAACTCATCTCTTTTACCAATGTTGAATGCTATTTTGCAGACAAATATTCTTCAGAGGGTATGTTAACGATAATGTCTTTTTATCTCTTTACAGTGCTTGTCATGATTTCTTCATTACCATTTTGTTGTCAACAGGAAAATATTCTTTATTTAATGAAGCAAATCTCTACGAGTGACTCCATAGGTGTGAGCAACTTAAGCATATTGGATTCTCTTTCTCTTGCCATTTACTTTTTTTAGTTTTTTCCCTGTAAGGTGATGAATCTTCTTTCAATTTTTTAGTCAATCTTTCAGTTGATGTGGGATGCATGCCGCCAAATGCAGTTGGTGCAGAAAAGTCTTTGGTATGTAACTATTTGTCTTTATTGGTGCCCTTCGCATGTATATACAGTTTAAATTTGTTCCACGTAAAAATATTTTGCGTTGAAGTTAACTGTCACTTAATATGTAAGAGTCCAAAATTATTTATTTTACTTATCAAGTATGAGCTGTTGGCTTGACAATGCATACAAATAGTGATGTCTTGGTTATCTCTTTACCTTTACTGGAGCAAGTTTTTAAGTTTTCCAAGATTTATGATTCCGTATTTGCTCTGTAGTTCCTAGGTGTTGTCAGCTAGAAAACTGCAACAGTAAGAACACCAGAAGATGACAGATTTCTTAACAATTTTTTAGCTGACTAGAAAAGCTTTTTAAGAAAACACTTCTTGAATCCTTTATTCTCTGTTTAGTTGTAGAACACTGTTTTCTATTTTATGTAATTCATATGTTTGTAGACAAAATATGTTGTGGTTTAAAAATAAAACAGAATTTAAAAAATGATTGACACGAGTTTGAAAAGAGTAAAAATTTTTCAAATTCATGCCATATTTTGCTATTATTTCAAAACCTTATTTTTCATTTAACAACTTATACATGTTTATTTGCATATAAACACATAAATTTAGAATAAAACACTGAGAGCAATTGAGAAATAGATGAAGGCCTTAGGCTGTTTGTCTCGTAATATTTTAGGATGTAAGACTGAATTGTTCTTCTGACAGTATCAGCTATTTTTTTGTCAGTACTTCTGATTGAGTGCCTCTGCTATTTCTGGTTTAACTACTCCCAATTTTCTATGTTTGCGGCAGATTTGAGGGGTCATTTGGGCCATCTAGTCTACTATAATCATATCCTTTAAATATCTTAGCCAAAATGAGAATCTTCTTCCTGGCCTTGATTGTATAATGATAAATTGGATAGAAGTGTCTATTACATGCTTTTAAATTCAATGTTAGAGGCTTGTGCATTTGAGTTTAGATATATTAGCCATTTTGTGTTTGCTTGAAGTTAGTGAAGAAGTGGTTCTGTTGAATTGCAGCTGGAAGCAGCCCATGATAGGGAGAAGGAATTACTTCATGAAATAACGGAGTTGCAATGGAGGTACTTTGATGTCATGCGGCATGCACCAGCATAATATCTATAAAGATCTACATTATACAATTAGTAACTGTGTATGTATGTCTATAAGTTTATATTTGTATTACTATCTCATTGGAACTAATTTGCTCTCACAGGCTCATATGCGCCCAGGAAGAGCTCCAAAAATATAAAACAGAAAATGCGCAGGTTCACTTTCAATATACTTGGTTCATGGGATTCCAAATTCTTAACTATAGGTCTGAATTCTTGTAGCTCACAACTGCATTTTCAGGTATGATTTCATATTTCTGCCTGATACTTCGATGGAAGTAGATTTTCTGAATGTTGTATTGAATCCCATAAAAGGAGTCGGAATCCCGTAAAAGGAGATGGAGGAGTAGATTGAGTTGCCAGTCAGCGGACATTGTTAAGTGAAACGTCAACGTCCCCGTGGAATCATTTGTATTATAGGGTTTTGATGGATTAGTAGGGCAAAAACAAGTTTAATTTGTCTGATTTCATGGATTATTTTATTGGCACACTAGATTTTCATATGTTAGTTTTGACCATAATTCTTATACAGTAGAGCCGTAAGATTAGGCATCCCCCTCCATAAGTTTGCTTGTCTTGTACATAACTTTGTCCTATATTGAATTTGGTTATAGTAAGGAAAAATAAAAGAATGTGTTTTTTTTTTTTGTATTATAGCTGTTGATAAGGATTACATATTAAGTAGGGTATTACTAAATAGGATATTTTATTGTTTAAAGTTATAATAATTCAATAATCTTATATAATTAGAGTCCTATTAGAATAAGAATAATTTTTTATATATATTTTAAATATAACAAAATAAATAATAAGAAATATAAAAGGAGAATATTTTTTTTTTCAAAAATTTTCATGGTATCAAAATTAAAGTAAAAATATTTTAAGTTTCTAATTTTTAGGTTTTTTTAAAATTCTAAAATAATAAAATAAATTAAATTATCGCTCAACTATCAAAAAATTAAACTTATCATCACTTCAGACGAAGTCGTCGCTCATCACTGGTTAGTACACCAGATTGTTTTCCACGTGCGTGAGCCACATGCGTCGTCGGCGTCATTCCATTTTGCCTGAAAATTTTTGGAACATTGCCAAAAATGCCCGATCGAGGCAGATACGGCCTTTTCTGCCCGAGATCCGGCTTGAATCGTGCATCTCCGGCCTTTTTCCACGCAATTGCGCACATTCGGTAGATCTATTGTTCTGCGTCCTCTGCCACTCTGTTCTAGCTGCACTTGGAGACAACTCATGTGCTCTTCCTGCACGCCACGTAGAATCCTATTAGAATAAGAATAATTTTCTACATATATTCTAAGTATAACAAAACAAATAATAAGAAATAAAAAAGGAGAATATTTTTTTTCTCAAAAATTTTCATAATATCAAAGCTAAAGTAAGTATTTTAAGTTTATAATTTCTAGATTTTTTTAAAACTCTAAAATAATAAAATAAATTGAGTTAGTGCTCAACTATCAAAAAATTAAACTTATCATCACTTCAGACGAAGTCATCGCTCATCACTGGCTAGTACACCAGATTGTTTTTCACGTGCATGAGCCACATGCGTCGTCGGCATCATTCCATTTTGCCTGAAAATTTTTGGAATACTGCCAGAAATGCCCGATCGAGGCAGATATGGCCTTTTCTGCGCGAGATCCGGCTTGAATCGTGCATCTCCAGCCTTTTTCCACGCAATTGCGCACATTCGGTAGATATGTCGTTCTGCGTCCTCTGCCACTCTATTCTAGCTGCACTTGGAGACAACTCGTGTACTCTTCCTGCACGCCACGTTGTTCCAGTTATGCACTGAATTGTGCTGCATTGACCAGCCAAATCTCCTCCAGTGTGCCATTCTAGTTTTGCACGTACGGGGCGTCCAATCTAGCCATTCCGCACACTGAACCATTAAGATCTGGTCTGTCCGCACCTGAGCCTAGCTATCCAATCCGAGCTTTTGCAGAGCCAGACAGATTTGATTCTAGTTTTATGTCCTTTTTTTGGCTCTTTTGATACAGAATCGGAGGTCCGATTTTTATTACTCATATTGTTTTTCTTGTCTTTAGTACTTTAAAATGACATAAGTAAAAAATGTGAGTGTTATTAGTTTTGATAATCCCTAATTACAAATTAGTCATATAAATCTTGATGGAATTAATTATTTTACTTGGTCGAGATCTTGTTTATTGTTAAGTAAATCTAGATGATTGTAGGGTCACATTATTGGTGAGGTGAAGAAATCAGATGTTAGTAGTTTAGAATATAATAGACAGGACTCTGAGAGCTCCTCAGTAATGTTATGACTCATTAATTCTATGCAACCTCACATTGTCATAACATATCTG